GCTTCTTTTGTATATCCAGTAAAAAGTCCTTATCAGGGTCATTCTCTTGGCTTATCATATGTAATTCCACTTTAACTGCCTTCTCTATTTTGTAATCCACATTTTTTTTTATTATCCAGTATTTCTGATTCTACTATTTCTGCATCAGATTTAACATCTTTTGGACATAGTCTATCCATAGAAGCAGACATCATTGCTGACATTTCTGATATTATTGCTACTAATGTCTGGCCCCATTCTTTGAAAATCTCCTGAAGTATTTCTAATGTTACAGCATTTTGTGTCATTTCGTAAATCCCCACACTAACTGAAAACCAAAGACATTTACACTTTTTTTTTCCTTTTCTGCCTGGAATCTTTAGTCCCCTCTAGTGTCCAATTTCTCAAAATCATAGTCTCAAGTTCCTGTTTTGACTTTAGACAAAACATTCTGGTTCCAAGGAGATGTTGTTTATTTATTTCCAAAACCTTATAGTAAAAGTCTCAATGTTCCAAAGTTGTCTGGATCCTTAATTTGTTTATAACTTTCTTAGTTCAAAATCTTATTTAGCTTTTTGCTGTTCTTTAAATTCTTTAACTTAGTTAATTTTTCTTTTGTTCAAAAACAAAAGTAAACTCATCAGGTGGCTTTTCAAACTTGTAATTCCAAAGGTCTCTAATAGCCTTAGAATAACAAATAAGCAATTTCTGAAAATGATTAGAAAATGAGGTTAGCAAACTCAGTGTCCTTTAAAAGGCTCCACCACAGATGTGAGCATGATGGCTGATCCCTTCTTGCGAGGAGCAACCATCTGGAGCATATGTGGGGATCTCCTGTCCTCTCCTTATCCAGAGAGATTCTGAAGAACCAGTCTACTTGCCAGTTCTTCAGTCTTTGCAGTGGTGGTTGTCTCCATTCTGTCAGAAATGTGTTTAATTTGCCATGCCTCCACTGGAAATCCCAGATCATCACATTTTAAAATGCCCAGGAAATGAATGTCTTAGCATGTTGTTGAAAAGACAATATAAGTGTTAGATATACCTTTCCAGGGAGACATTCCACAAAAGGGGACCCTAGTGCATTATCTTTTCTCTGTGTACAGATTTGCTGCTACATCAATACAAGATGAAAAGTGAGATAAAGCTAAGTGTCATCTCCATCTTTATTACCTCACAGCAGTTTAATATTAAATGGGATGCAGTTGAGCCCTGAATACTCAATGATTTCATTGCCAAAGAGCAAAAATCTCCAGCATCTCTTCCTAGAAATAACTAGCCAAGTCACAGGATACAATATATGCAATGGAGACAGCTGGTTCAGAAAGATACCATCCAATGCTCCCAAGGTCCAAGAGAACAGAATTACATTCCTGATTCTCTCTCAGCTAAGATCATCACATAGTGACCAAAGCAGTCTCTCTCCTGTACCAGACCTAAACCCAGACTAAAATGGAAACTGGCACTGCTCCATCTCTCAGAGAGGTAGAGGAACCAGCCAGCCCTCTCTTTCCTATTAAACATAAGCTATTGGTGAGTGGCTGGCCTGCTTTCACAAGACTGCAATTTCCTCACTAACTTCTCATACCAGCTGCCAGAATTCAGACTTCCCCAAAATACATCTACATGAGGAATAGTTGCATACCTTGGGATAGGTAGCAAATAAAGATTCCCTCCAATCTTCCCTTTCCAGGTTAAAGAGCTTTTGTTCTTTTGAAAACCAGGAGTCAGAACTCTAGGAAAAGGGGCAAGAAGTTGGGAACAGAAGCTGAGAAAAGAAACAGGGCACCTTCCACATCCACAACAGCCTCAGAATTAACTAAGTGAATCTTCAATAATCTGGAGGGAGTCAAGGAAGAGTGGAGCCAGAGGGGACTGTCAGGAAAAAAAATGGCTATTTTTGAAAGGATAACAAACATTTAAGATTTTCCTTATGATTACTGTATCTGGCATTTATAATCTCTGCATAGTAAATTGTGTGATTTTACTCAATTTGGAGCCTATAGTAGAGTTCCTCTAAATTAGGGGCAAACCAACATTTTTTATGGCCAAAAGTTTGTTTTGTTTTGCGCTGTCTGTGATATTAGCAGAACTATATAATTCTTCCAATACCGTTTTTACATGCTACTACTTAAAGATAAAGAGGCATTTTTACACTTCTTTCTTAAGACTGGTTTTAATTATCTCTTGTGAGATTGATCTAACTCCCAGAAAATGGGAAGACAGATTTTCTTTAGCTACATGCTTCAACACTTGAGCCAGGAAGTAGCACTATAGAATTTATTTCATTTTTTAATCAGCTACTTTCTCTTCTACTTGGCACTTAGTTACATAATCTCTATCAATCTCACATATCAGGGTTAAGGAGAATGCCTTTAGTTTATTTGAAGAGAAAAAAGACTGAACTACCTGGAAGAGAGATTGTGTCAACAGTAACTATAGTATATAAGTGGTTGCTGAATTTGTCCAAGAATTGTGCATCCTCAGATAATTGGACAAACAATACTCAGTAACATAATGACACTAAATGTGGAGGTCATGTTGAAAACAAGTGATGGTAATTTTTTGCAAGTTTGTAACACCAAGCCATGGAAAGTTTAATTCCTTTTCAGGATTGTCAGCTAGACAAAACTCTATGATGGAGGGAAAAAAACCCTTCTTGCTATCTCCTGAGAGTTGTATTTTCAAGGTCACATTCACCAACACCATGGTTAACATTTTTCTGTTTTAAGAAACACTGAGCACATGTGTCAATCACATTTATTAAATACAAATAAATGAAAACAGAGTTTGAATACAGGTTTCTTGATTTATTGCCATCAAGGATAAAATATTCCTGACTCAACATCAAGCCACAAAGTAACCCATCCATAGACTGAGAAATTCAGAACAAGGAAACACAACATCATGACCAAAACATTACTGATAATATAGTTCCAGGTTCATACCATCATGGATTTCATCTGAAAGTAAGGAGTTAAGGTGAATTTTTACAAGAAAATAATCATGATTAGTAATTATAAATAGGCTTGACCTTTAAGTTTGAAAATAATGTCATGTCAAAGTGACCATCCTTTGGAAATACTGTCAAAGTTGTCCAAATATATGCGAACATATATATTTATAATATGACCGTATATCTATTTCTATAATGCCAAAAACAACTTTTTTTTCAGTTACTCAGAGATTTAAAGCCCAATTCTATTTTCTTGAGACAAAGAATGATAGTGTGCTTGCCAAATAGTATTAAGATCTACTACTTCAATTTCTTTCCAAATTCAAACTTTGCAAGATGGGACAGAGAAAAAGAATTATGCAGGGATCAAGCAACAGGGTAGGCAACTCCTAAAAATGACAAAAAGGGGATAAGAGGTCCTTCAAACAATTTATATCTCAAGGGCTTGATAAAAGATTTACACTGCTGAGGATTCTGACCTCATAAAGGAAGCATACTGAATGGAAAAGGCTTGGAAATGGAAGAGCCAGAAGTCTAGAAAGCCTTACCTTTCAAATTTAACTGCTGAGTACAAAGCCTCATGACATTCCTCATTTTGAACATTTTAGAAGTTGCTTATGCTTGGAACAAAGCTGTTTCACATATGTGAAAAAAATGCCTGATCTGCAAAATTTAGTGCTCAAAACAATTCAACACCTTTAATTTCAAGACTGAAACATTCTGATCTCAAAACAGACTGCCCCGTATGTGCCAGAAGTGGTCCAACTTCAGAAACAAGGGCAAAACAGTCAATTTGCAACCAGAACACTTTCAGTATACTTGAAATGGATGTTTTGATGGCACAGATTTTATTTATTTATTAAACAAATTTATATGGCTGCCCAGCTCACACACACTGACTCTGGGAAGTTTACAGAATTAAAACCCATAATACAAAAAACCAGTAAATCCTCCAACCCCCTCCCCCCCAGCAGCAACCGACACATTCGAATTAACCATTTGATTGGCTCCATATCAGCCTGGGGTCGCCAGGTCTGCTGACAAAACCACGTCTTCAGGGCCTTCTGAAAAAGTATCAGGGTGGGGCCAGTCTGATCTCCCGGGGAATATTCCATAGGGAGGGAGCCACCACGGAGAAGGCCCCTTTTTTGGTCCCACTAGATGTACCTCCCTCATTGAAGGGACCCACAACATATCCCGCCTCCCTGCTCTGGTGGGCCAGGTAGATGTAACTGGGGTGAGGCGGTCCTTCAAATAACCTGGCCCTAAGTCATGAAGGGCTTTAAAGGTGATAACCAGCACCTTGAATTGGACCCAGAAGCAAATCAGCAACCAATGCAGCTCCCGCAAAAGAGGTGACACATGCATAAATCTAGGCTTGTGCAAAACTCTGCAGGTACCGCATTTTGAAGCAGATGTTTTGACAACTGAACAAGACATTCTGAGGTTGGAATATTTCAACATCAAAACATGCATACCTCTGTGTTTCACTATATTCACAGGATGGTTATTTAGACTTCTACTAAAGCTTAAATGCCTTTCCAAAAAGTAACAACGCATACAAGTAAGACAGAGATAATTATAAAGAATTTTTAAAATGTCACATTTTCTTTCTCTAGTCATCTGGCCAATCTCTTCATTATTGTTATCATTTAAAGGATACAGTCTGCCAGCATCACATGGTCCTTGAAAATCGTATACCTACAATATATAAATATGAATTTTAAAAGATAGCTGTAGCTTTTACATAGTTCAGTAAGAATTAAGTAAAAAATTATCACAGTCAATACAAGTACATCACAATAAAATCAAGGGCCAATTGTCATTATAGAACTGGTACTGTGGGGCCCATCAGAAACTTGTCCCAGTCCAGAAAGTAAAGGAGCTCATCAATTTAAACACTTACATAGATTACCAGTCTGTTGCTAGTTACAATTCAAGGTTCCTCTTTCAATATGAACCACAGACACTAAGATTTGTTACAATTTGTTCCATTTCCATCAACTAGAGACTGCAGCAGCTTCCTCCTAAGCTATTAGATATCACTTCCCTGAGAGGAATTTGAGCTATTCCCTCTCTTCCTTTTAAGTAGGAGAGAAAAATCTTTTTATTTTGTTATGACTTAATTGTGAAGTAAAATCAATCAGCACAGCATATCACTGGTAACCATTCTGTTTTCTCTCTTTTGCCATTGCTGGTTGATAAATTTATTAACATACTGGTTGATAAACTCTTGTTTAATCATCAATACTTTAATCATACTATTATTATTGTGGATTGTTTTGAGAATCATTATGATGAAAAGCAATACAATAATTTCATCAGGAAACAAAAATATAACATCTGCCCAGCATTTTAAGCCATACATACAGAGCCAGTGTGGTGTAGAGATTAAAGTGCCGGCCTAGAAACCAGGAGACTGTGAGTTCTAGGCCTCCCTTAGGCATGAAAGCTGGCCAGCCAGTCACTTTCTCTCTGCCCAACCCACCTCACAGAATTGTTGTGAGGAAATAGGAGGCAGGAAAATTAGGTATGTTTGCTGCCTTGAGTTCTATATAAAAGCGGAATAATAATAGGAGGAGGAGGAGGAGGAGGAGGAGAAGAAGAAGAAAATAATGAGCAGGTTAAAATATTGTGGGATTTCCAAATACAAACTGATATGGTCTTGGCACATAACACACCAGATTTAACTGTGGTTGAAAAGAAGAAAGTGTGGATAATTGATGTGGTGATACCAGGGGATAGTAGAACAGAAGACAAAGAACTGAAGACGATCACAAAGCATCAAGATCTGAAAATCAAAGTTGAAAGATTGTGGCATAAACCAGCAGTGGTGGTCCTGGTGGTTATCAGCACACTGGGTACCATTCCAAAAAACGTTGGATGGCACTTAGAAATACTGCGCATTAAGAAAATTTCCATCTGTCAATTACAAAAGGCCACATTGCTTAGATCCACATGTATACTATGCTGATTCATTACAGCATTCTAGGTTCTTGGGAAGAACTCAATGTGAATGAAGGCCAACATCAGCTAAAGAACTGGCAGCTGTGATTTCACATTGTTAATAATAATAATACTAATAATACATGATGACCTGACAAGTGCAAAGCCTAGGGACTCTTGTATTCAAAGCATGAGTTGTGGCTCTAGAATAAGTTGGAGAGACTACTTACCATTTCTTCAGAACAATCTTGTCCCAGCGAGTACCAGTTTGGGCAGCAATAAGCTTCTTCAGGTCCCTGATGCAATCATCAGTGCTGAGCAGTAATATTGGTTAAAGAAATGAATGAGAAAATAGGGCCCTGTATATCATAAGCACTAAACAAACTATTTTTTATGACACATCTTCCTGTCCCAAACAACTGAACCCCTTGCACCATATGAAATGGGGGTTGGACACAGATACATATTGCTCAAACCTACACACACAGAAACCAAAAGACCTGTTACTTGCACTTTCAAATCTATTAACAAATACACTTGCATGTACATTGACTGTTACAAGCTACTCTACATCCCAAAGCTCAAGATTATAACTTTTAGTCACACAGACATAAAACACTTTTTTAAAGCCTTTAAAGAACCCTTTACTTTTACATCTGGCCATAAAAACAGAAACAGGATTTTACCTATGGATCCTTTCCCCAGCCATCCAAATTCTTTAATGCCCTTTAAACACTTTAAATGCTTTCATTCATTCTCCTGAACCCACATCTAAAATAATCCTCATGATGTTGCTTTTCTTTGTATCTTAGCATTTATCTTGTACAGGTGCACACTCCATGACCCACGCAGCACCTCTCATGCACTCCCTTGCACCAAGTGGGAACTGCAGTCCAACAGATCTGAGGTCTTCTTAATAAGCAGCCATCCTAGCTCTGTGGGCTCTATGGGACTCCCTGAGATGAGGATGATGACATGCATCTTGAAGAAGCTCTTCCTTGCAGCCTTGGCTAAGGTTAGACCAGTCTTCCTCAATCTCAGTTTAAATTTAAATCTCAGTTGCTCTATCCAGCAGAGTCAGATCAGGAGGTCTGAGTTAAATGAAATATTTGGTACCTAATACATATCCACAGTACAAACTACAGCTTTAAGCCTGCACAAGCAGGAAAGATGATTATGATACTAAATATCTAGTTTCATGTTTTGGGGGTTTTTTGTTTTGTTTTCTTAGGATATAACCTTATATTTTGCAAATGAACTGGATTTATTAACTGAACAAAGATCTTTTGAGTTTCTTTTTTAGTACACAGTGCTCTTGTATACTTAACTGGTTCCAATATTTTCAAATAAGTAGCCCTGCAACAAAACAATTACAGAATCAAGGGGGAATACTGAGAAACTCAACTGAATTTAAAAAACTTATAAGAATACTGAACACTTTTTAGGCATAATTTATTAGTGAAATACAACTAGATCTGAACAAGTCAAAGAATGTACGATTAAATGGATGCTCTATTTGAATATAGTTATAGAGATGAAATAGTGGGAAGTTCAAAGGAAAAAGATCAATCATACGTTCTTTCAAAATATACTTTAATGGCATTGTATTTATCAATGGCTGCCATGATTTTAGACTTTTTTTTTTTTTTTTAACTGGAAAAGACTTTTGATTCCTCAATGGAAGAATGACTAACCAAACTGTGGAAGCAGATTTCAATGGCTAGAATAACTTCATATTTGAAAAGTAAATATGATGTAGAATTCAGTTCCATTTGGAAACCATTTTACACTTCAGTTTTATACATAGAATTGTGCTATATCCAAAATTCAGGTTGTAGAGTTTATATTCTACCTTCATATACAATCTAAATATAATTTACAGTGTTATCTTACAGTACTGTTCATCACCTACAGTCTTTTTCTCTTTTTTTTTTTTTCAATTTTCTTCAGTTGGGTTAAGCAAGTTCCTCTAAAGTTTAATAGAAACATGTTTTGATTTAAAAATAGATAAGTTTTCAAATAATGTATTAGATATATTAGTCATGATATCTTAGATTTGTTCACTATCTGCCAGTACTTTACTGTTTATATTTGAGGTTTTTATCTGTTATATTTTATATTCTTTTAAACTTGTATTTGTAAAAAAACAAAAAACAAAACAAACCCCAGGGGACAGAAAACAGGGAAAGCAGAGCCAGGACTCATTGATTTTTTTTATGAAAGCTGCTAGATTTTTCATATACATAATATAAATTAATAGTGTGTGTATGTGTATATAGTCTATATTTACAATAAATACATATATATACACACACAGTACTATATACATACATATATATACATATAAAATATTAATTTATATTATATTACATTCTTAATCCACTCATGCTAGTGTAGCAGTCCAAAACACAACTGCACTCTCCATTCACACAAAGAAAGGACAGTATAAAGGATGCATCAACCCCCATGAAGAATTCTAACACTCCCTCAACTTCCCATGCTGATAGCACAACGAAATGTTCATCTCCAAATTGAAGACTCCTGTAGACTCTTAAGATTCCCATCTCATCCTGTGGGTTATGCAGTGAAAAAGATGTCAAAGCAACAGTTCCCTGTGTCTCCCCTGCTTGTCTGGGCAAATATGCATAATATCAGAGAGAAGCAAAATGGGGAAGCATCTATTGAACCTATATTCACACCCAAGTAAATGGTACACATAATAAATGTTTCCTATCTAGTATCCCTTTCTTGTAGCTTCACAGCCAAAAAGATAGCTAAACACAGAAGGGAAAAATAAGCCATCCAAAGGCGGTTTCCTTAGTGTCGGATACTTGCACTTCACTCTCACTTTCTTGCCCAGCCGATCATTGCAAACTACTTCAATCATCTTGATCACGGCTTCACGTTCGGCTCTGCTAGAAAACTAAACAAAACAATGTCAAAAAAAAAAGTCTTCCAGTCTGATGTAAAGCACTGAATATAGTTAAAACATATTTTCAAGGGGAGGAAAGGGAGTTCCCAAGCTAACAGCCACTATCTAATGCAGTGTTTCTCAACCTTGGCAACTTGAAGATGTGTCGACTGCAACTCCCAGAATTCCCCTGCCAGCCATGCT